TTTTAGAATACTTTGCGCTAAGTTTTGTGCCACGCAAGGACGTAACTTTAAAAAAAAAATTGACTGAACGGCATTATGCAGCAGACGACACGGCGACGTCACACCATTCACGTGACCCGCTCCGGCCAATCCGAAAAGCCCATCTCCGCTGCGAGGAAAAATCGTCTGCTTCAAACGCCATTGCCTTGGAAATTGCCTTCTCAAAATTTACACACGCATCCGATATCATTAAAACTTTGATAAAGTGTTTAGTGCTTTACTAACTTCACGACAGACTAGTTTTGAAAAGTGTGAACTCGCCGCTCATTTTTTTATCAGCCGTGTTGTGTCGATCTCCATGTATTCTCCCATAGGGCGGGCCGCCTCCTGGAACCCTGAGTACCACGTGACTCGCGCCGAGCCGCTCCGTCGGCCATGTTGTCGGCAAAACACTGGGTTCAAAGGATTGCGCTACTCTGCTCCGTAGGAGCTATATAGTGCTCTAGCCTGGCCCAGCTCGGCTGGCTCCCTTCGAACTCGAGCTGGCGCGCTCACGGAGCGCGGGTTGACGACTTTTCAAAAACGAGGCTTTAACGTATCGTTTGACGGCTAAAATGCACGTGTTTTTCACATGTTTTTTTTTTTTTTTTTACAGTGTGTGAATTGATGTGATGAAGATAAAGAGTGGTGGGTGAAATGTGCTCGCATGTGGTCATGGATTTTGTGTACGACGTAGGATTACCCCGAAAGATGGCTCGATATCGAGAAATGTGCGCGTAAGATCTATCAAACCTGTTCACCTTCGTTATTTTATCGTGCGAACCGACATTGTCACGTATCGCGTTCAATTGGAATTCGAGCACCGGTAAACCATTTTTTTTGTTGCATTTCAACAACTGCAATAAACATTTTGAAAACGATCACTTCAATGAGCACGTCGTTACTGGACTTTTTCATTGAAAGATAGGTCGCGGGTGTTCCAGCTAGTTATTCTGAATGATTTGGTGGTCATCTACCATTTCAAGCGCGCGAGGCTGTGTGTACTGTGTGCCGTACCAACAGCGGTATATACTTGCACTGTCGATCAATGTTTTCGCAAGGCAGAACGTTTGTGTTCCGTGTGTATCCACACCCAATATCTTTCTCTCGCTTGTTGCCGTGGGGTAACTCGTGCTGTTTTACGATATCATTCACGCGATGTCATATATGTGGGCATACCGATATCCACATGCTGCTTCACGAACACTCGTAACTTGGTATCCGTTCTGACAAATATGCACGCGTTATAATATTGCATTCTCCTTTGGGCCCGTGATTGACGACCGATATTTATATATCGTGTGGCCGTACAGTATGTCTATGTCGGTCATAAATATGCACGCGATGTCGTATTCTATTCCAATAACCACGCTATATATCGGGGTATTGTGCTCCAATATGGTGTTGTATACAAATAACCGCATACTATATCGGGATATTGTCCTCCGATATGAGTTCGCATCGTGCGTATTCGGTTAATCGGATAACAATAAGTTTTTATTGGTTTCCAACAACTTCACTGGAATACAATATTTCCAATAAGCCGAGTTCATATTGGCCTTTTTCAATAGGGAACAGCTGGAATCATGCTGTCGATCGCGGTGATTGGCAACCTGCGTGCTCCGCGGAAAAGCGAACCCAGAGATTTTCTTCATAAGCAGTGCGGCTATTGCTCGACTAAATACGGTACTCCAGTCTTTGTTTGCTTTCGAACTTTTGGTGAAACGCAGTACAGGGCCTCTAAACTCGTCAAACACAAAGTTCGGGCTGAAGTTGACGGAGCGCACCGATTGGCCCATCACGGCAGTGACTTGGCGCTTCTTGTTGCCGACGTTCAATCGGCGCGCTCCGCCACCTTTTGGCTCCAACTTTGTGTTGAACGAGTTTACATTTCCAGGCAAATAATGCGATTTCGTCGTTTCAGCTTCCGCGCTCGTCACTGATGCGGTTCGCATGTTCAAAGCCCGCTCGTCCGTTTTTTTTTTTGTTTTTCTTTTACATATTTGTTTTCTAGGAGGCAACCTCCTTTACGGATGTGCGGCGCGTGCGCGTATCGTCTGTTTGCTGCATTGAACGCGTTTCGTACCGCTCATTAGTTCTTGTTTATTCCTCTAAAATTTCGTACCATTGGCCTCATAATGGCGTGTGAGGAGTGCAGGATGGCTGAGGCGACTTCAAGTCATACTGCCTCATAGTTTGTCACCGACAAAAGGTTTGTTTATGAATTGAACGCGGAATTAATGGCGTGCTCTGATCGAAGAACAGCGCTCTTGTAGAGTCTGAGAGTTTTTGTTTTTGTGCCCTCTCAGTCAACACTGTTGTTTTCAGCCTAATGCGATTTCGGGGTTCTTCCTTGCTCTCTAAAGACAAAGCGTGACAAACGTTCTAAAGAAGGACCAAGAACTAGTGTCTTTATTTTTTCCTATATCCTGAATATAAACTATTGATGAGGCACAAAGATACAGAAGATACGGAAGTTATAAAGAAACATAAACAAGATGTTGTGACAGGGTAGTGTTCCTAGTGGGTGTACTGAAATATATGATCTTGGTTTCTGTAATGAATAGATGAACTTGTTGATGCATAGCACACAGAGGCGGTTGTTGTGAACACGAGGCTAAATAGCATTTTTTTAGTAACTTAGATCACTTATATGATTTAACTCAGATTTACTTGAATTAAATTAAATTATTTTATTTAAATTACTCCAGCTAACATAGTAATTATATGCCACTAATTTTTTTTTTAAACATGGCAAATTCACTGATTAATTTGTCGTATCACTGAAAAGAATGCGGGAGAAAGAATTACTGAAAATTTGAAGCACAGTTTAGTTAACAATATTCTATTGCTGTAATTCTTTCCACACTAGAAACAAGCACAACCTGATTCTATAGTTAGTTACAAACTTCAATGAATTTTGCTTTCGAGTTCTGACTTATTTGAAAAAGTGCATTCGATTTAAAAAAAATTTTCTTTCGATGTTTCGCGTTCTGATTTTGTTGAAATAAGATTGTAGCTGACGTACAAAGTGGAAAGTAGAAATCCAGTACAATTTTACAATCTTTTTTTCGGTGTGCAGCTTTATACAAATCCTTCTTGCTTAATGATGTTTTCATTTATATATAAACAAAACGCACATAGAAAGCATCAAGTATAATAAATTCAGTATATACAATAATTTTCTGGGTTATATCTGTAGGACATGTTTTCATTAAATCTTCATAGTGAAACTATTCTGATTTAATTCACGATTTAAATTGTGATATAAATCAGAATACAAATCCAACTAATTTTTTTTCTCAAGCTTGGTTACGAACACAAGTTTTGGAGGATGTCCATAAAAGAGTTTTTATATATGTAATTAATATCGTGGGAATGCGGCTATCACTATGTGACCATGAGTGCTTGATCGTGTATAATGTTTGCAGATACGGCCAGATGGCAGTTGTCGAAACGAACACATTTCACACCCCTCTGTATTTGTTTCTGGCATATTAAAACACAGAGAACGCCGCACACTGCAAGGCATGCATTTAGGCGCCAACCGTCCTGGCGCAGCAAGTCCAGGATACATTTCAAAATATTTCCTGTTTATTCCGTTCATTTTGATCTTGACAGGTAGGGGGAAGATCGAGGCATCTCCATCTGACCAATAAACCGTTTTTTTTGTTTGTTTTTTTACCACGTGATCACGCTTTCAGGTAACACTAGAGCGCAGATGCTCATAAAAGGTGGGCATTTGAATGGCTCAGCTAGCTCATAGCTTACAGCGCCCTGTCCCTTTAAGGACGTATGTCGCGAATTCGCGACATACCACTTAGTCCACTGTATAAAATCTTTCCGTCATCTATGAGCCCCGCGCCGACTGTCGCGAAATCGCGACGAACCTACCGAAGCGCCACGGTATGCTTGCGCCATCTGTCGGCCGCCCGGTTTACTTTGCGCCGTAAACAACTTTTGCCGGTGGACAAGATTTCAGAGCACGTGGTTTTCGAATTCCCAGCTGTCCTTCTAGCGTAATCGAGAGGTAAGTTGTCGTTTTAAACTTGTTTCTAGCTTAAATGTGGTCCCAACTAACTGTACAAAGCACACATCCTTTTAATACTAAGGTCGTTCAGAAAAAAAGATGTTCTGTTCGCCTTGTCGCGAATTCGCGACACTCGGCATTCAGTGATTTGCAAGTCGCAGTTTGGCTAATCTAAAACAAAAAATATATTTCTGGCTTACCACTTAGTTTCAATGAGCCATACTTTATATATTGTAGATCATGGAAGCTCGCTCCTTCTATGGGAAGAAGAAAATTCCGTGTAGGATGCGTTTACCACCCGAAGACGGAAGCGACGACAACTGCCTAAGTGACACTGACAATAAATGCGGACTACAACCCTCCCCAACAGTTCAACGCACCCCCCGATAATGACAGAAGCGAAGAAAGTGAAGAAGAAGATGAATCGGTGACAGCTTCCTCGATAGGAGTGAATCGGCCAGTGCACTGGTCAAAAACATCTTCATCTCTGAGTAATGACGTTCCTCAGTGGAAAGGCGCTGCGCATGAGAGCGAGGCCGTCAGGTCCCCAATCGATTACTTCCAGGGATTCTTCGACGACAACGTGTTCAATCTAATTGTGCAGCAGAGCAATCTTTATGCAATACAGCAAAACCCGAATGGGCCTCTAGCCTTGTCCCGGGTGGAACTTGAGCAGTTTCTAGGCTGCACTGTCTACATGTCGATCTTCCAGCTACCACGATCTCGTTTGTACTGGTAAGCTGAATGCAGACTACCAGTTGTGGCCGATATTATGACGCGCGACAGGTGGGAGGAGATCAAATCCTCGCTGCACTTCAACGACAACCTCAGCATGCCACCAGCCGACAGCTCCCCGAAGGATAGACTGCTCAAGATTCGCCTGCTTCTCGAAATGCAGCTCCCACAATTCTAGGAGATTCCTCAGGAACAATGCCTCTGTGTGGACGAACAGATGGTTCTCTTCAAAGGGCACTCCAGCATCAAGCAATACCTCCCCAAGAAGCCTCACAAGTGGGGTTACAAAATATTCATCCTTTGTGACTCCAGGGGTGTTGTACACTCTTTTGACGTGTACACTGGCCGCATCGATCAAGTGCCGGGTTTTCCTGACATCGGGCCAAGTGGTAACATCGTCATAAAACTGGCTCAGTGCGTGCAGCCTCAACTGGGCCATCTTCTGTACTTTGACAATTGGTTCACGTCTCTGAAGCTTCTCGTGACTTTGGCACAAAGAGGCATATATGCCCTTGGTACTGTGCGTGTAAATCGACTGCAGGGTCGCAAGATGGCCTCGGACACAGAACTCCGCAAGAGAGGACGAGGAAGTGCAGAAGAGTGCGAGGCAGTGGTGGATAACCAGAAGGTGATCGTTGTCAAGTGGTACGACAACCGATCGGTGACCACCGCAAGTACCTTTGCCGGTGCACAACCCATTTCCAGTGTCATGAGGTGGGATAGGCGTGAAAAGAAGTCTGTCCAGGTTGAGTGTCCTAGCGCAGTTGTTACGTACAAGAAGTACATGGGAGGTGTTGATCTCCTTGATGCACTGATAGCAGACTATCGGACCGAGTTGAGGTCAAAAAAAATTTACCTCAAGCTTTTTTTCCCTTTTTGGACATGGTGATTGTTGTGAGCTGGCTCCTCTACCGACGAGACTGTCAGTCACTGGGCGTTCCAAAGAATAAGCAGAGAGACCTGCTGAAATTCCGGCTTGGAATTGCGGAAGCCCTCTGCAAACAAGGAAAGGACCTCTCCTCAAAGAAGCGGGGACGACCGTCCGGCTCTCTTCAAGCTCCACTCGAAATGAAGAAGCGACGAGGACCCACGAGCCACATCCCCAACGAGGACGTCCGCACGGACAGTACAGGACATTGGCCGGTTGTCAAAGACACGAGACAGCGGTGCAAGAAACCTGGTCGCAAGGGACATACCAACGTAATGTGCAGCCAATGCAACGCACATCTTTGCCTCAACAAGAACACCAACTGCTTCTTTGATTTCCATCAGCCATAAAGTAGAAGCCAGGTGCTTTCTGCGCTGCATAATTGTTCCGGGAACGCAATAAGCAAAATTTTGTTCCACTCCTTTCGAGACTTTTTTTTTTTTACTACGCTAATAATATTGGTGAAAAAAATTAATTTTATTCAGATGGCGTGGTGAAATTATTGACTTCGTGGCCTGTTGTCGCGAATTCGCGACATACCTCTTTTAGCCAAATAGGGTACCCGTCACAATTCACAATGTTTGTATCTTTTTAAGAGCACCTTAAGCACCACATTCCGGCAAAAACATATTTTTTTAGTCGACTGAAAAATAAATTCGGCGTTAAAGGGTTAACAAGAGGTACGCGCTAACATCTGCGGTACGCTCTTTTTCGAGTGAACGGCGAGAACTTATTCGGCTGCAGATTGAACGTGGCGCCACAGCTTGCACGCAGTCAAACAACTAGACATTTTTTACTCCCTCGCAAGTTCATGACTGGTGCTCTACCGTCCTAGGCTTCTGGCCGTTGGTAGGCACTGAAAATAAATAAATGAAAAATTGGGCCATATTTTTTGTTAGAACGTCTCCCGAACATACAAATAGCGAGAGAGGTCTGGCGCTATATGATGTGCTTGTGTTCACGACCCCTTCAACCACCGGTCGATTTCAGCTTGTGTACGGTAACATAACCACTTTAGATTTTCAAACTAAGCGCTGGTTGTCTGCAACTTTTAACGTTAAATAGCAGACGATCACACTCTCAGCCCGCGTCCATTCTACATTTGTCGCGGCGCTAAACTTTTTGAAAACATAAAATTTAATAATTTTTTTAAGCCACCAACGCACGGTGTTACTTTCTTTTATTCCCGTCTACAAGTTACCCTTCATAACATACAAACCGCCATCTGTTTTCGTGTTAAAGGCTGAACTCCATGAAGCGAATATGCGGCGAAGAACCGACAAACTTCGCCTGGCGGCGTGTTCGCTTTGTGCGCCGCGCAACAGTCACTCTTTTAACGCAACGAGCAGAGCGAAGGGCGCTATGCTAGTTAATTTTCCGCTGAATTTAGGGAAAAATTGACTTCACGTGACCTATGGACCAATTTAGGTTCCCCGCAAAATTTAGCGCAATGAAGTGCCTCGCCCACGTTCAACTTCTCCTTAACGCGATCAACGAGATATGGACAACGGGCAACTTCCCGAGCTCCTGGGGCGTATCCACTGGTGATACCGGTCCCAAAGCCGGGCAAGCCACCGAATGAGCTTACTAACCTCCAGTCAATTTCCGTTACCAGCAACCTGTGTGTCACGGTCCGGTGCGGAGCGAGAGGGGAAGTGCACTCGCCGTAGTCCGCAACGGGGGTTCGGACGCCCGCTATCCCACAGTACGTGAGCTCCAGGGACGGGGGGACAAAGACAGGGCACGTGACGAACAGAGCAGTAGAAACATTTATTAAAAGGCTAGCAAGATGTTGACAAAAGTAAAAGGGTAATACAGACAGTCTCAATCAGGCGGAAGAATACAAGAGAAGCTTAGCAGCATTGGGCAAGATAGAGTATACTGTATACATAACAAGAGGAATGGGACGATACCGCACTTGGGCGCAGTCCTGCACGACGAGGCTCGCAGAGGCGTGGGAGCACCTGAAGTCTGTCGCTTGCGGTTGATTCCCTCTTGACGTGGCCGCAGTGCGCCAGAGGTGGTGGTCGTTGGCTTTAGTCGCTGACGCATCACGGGCGGTCGACGCACTGGGGCAGTCCGGGAGAGGAAGTCCGCAAAGAGTAGGATCACAGAAGTAGCTGACGTTCAGTTCCCCGACGGGTCTTTCCCTTTACCGCGGTGCCCGAGGCTACGCCCGGAACCGACAGGAAGAGCGGGTTGCGCTCTGAAACCTCTTAAGTCGACTGCCGCGCCGTTTCCCGGTTTCAACCGAACGGCGCTCTTTCTTAATAAAGTAAGCAAACCACACCCGCTCCCCTACAATCGCAAAGCACTCACACACACACACACAGAAAGACAAATGACCATCACAGCGGCGAAGACACGCGTTGCCCACAGCTCCAAACAAAGTCAATACCAAAAACGCTCAACTGGGGCATCTGGCAAACTCATTTTCGAATTCCACGAAGTGGTACGGCGCCCAAGCGTCGGGCAAAAGCGTCCCCCGAACGGGAGTCGCAGAGGTCATAAACAAGTCAAGTTAGGGTCCCAGTCGAGACCGGCGAGGTGCTAACTAGCGCCAACGAGGGAGTGTCACACCACCCGCGGTGACCACATGGCCCCGCAGGCAGCCGACGGGGCGCCCTTTACAATATGCGTGGCCTGGCGCGACCAGGCCGGTTTTCGTGACACTGTGTAAACTCACTAAACGTATCGTCCTTGAGCGAGTTTTTGGCATCTCGAGAGTTACTCCCGGCTTCACCTATATCAAATCGAATTCCGCAACGGGATGAGCACGCAAGACGCTCGTCTCATGTTACACCACCGAGCCCTTGACGCCTACTCGAAAGTGCAAATGTGAACGGGGATGGCGGTGGACGTTCGCAAGGCGTTGGACCCTGTCCCTCACGAGGCGTTCGGCGAGCGAGGAGCTTGCCGGAGTGTGCGGCCGCCTTCTCAATCTCGTTAAAAGTTTCCTGAATGACCGAATGCACAAGATCGAAGCCGGTGACTACATCGGGCCTGCTCAACTGAACAGTGCCGGGCTACCGCAAAGCGCGCTCCTCTCGCTTACCCTGTTCAACCTGGCATTGCAAGACTTCCTCTACTCCTTGGTGCGGTTCCGTTGCTCCACTTTGCCGTACACGCCATTGGTGTCACCATCTGGGCAACGACGGGATCGGCGGGCGAACAGGAGCACACGCTTCAGTTTGGTCTCGACGTGATACAGGGCTTTCTTCGGAATGCGGCAACGACCGCCTCGGCCGTAAAGACTGAGTACGCCGTTGTCCTCAAAGGGCCCCACAGAAAGACCGAAGCGGTCCGGAACCAAATCGCCCTCATCATGCCGGCCAAAGGAAACGGGAAACACCTTCCGTTTTGATCAAGGGAGCCTACATATATCAAGATGGGAAAGGCACCACGCGGGTGACGAAAGTCGCCTCGCAGTACAGATTCCTCCTCCGCCTCATTCGTATAATCACACACCTTTGGTGGGGCACGCGGGAGAGAGAAACGCGCCAGCTCGTCACGGCACTGCTTGAATCCTGAATCATCCACGGCTATACCTATCACGTCCACAAACCCAGGCAGGCGGAGCAACTCGAGAAACTCAATCGCAAAGCCATCCGCATGACTATCGGACTGCCTAAGTACACGCCGACATGAACCACCTTTCAGAACTCGCCGAAGAGGCGCTCGTCGCCGAGAGAGATCCCCTGAGCAGCTCAACACCTGGGCCGGTTTCCTCATCTTGCGGATGCGGCCGCGGCTGTGGCCAAGAGGGATTTTTCTGTCACGTGACCAGCTCCATGGGGTCAAGGAAGTACCTGGCGTCCCTGCCTAATGGCGGAGAAATCCGTATCGCTTCAAGCACAAAAGCCTGATTACGCTCGCAGAAACTGGCTGCAGGGACTTTCAACTGGAGTCCAATTGACCGCCCCTTTATACTGTAAGAGCGGCAGGTAAAGCTACGGCCAGAAATGTTAAAAATGAGCCAAAATAGAGAAAAAATTACTCCAGATGAAAGTGGTGGCAGCATATTTATATACCTCCGCCAGCGCCGGCGCCTCGCGCCTTCTGCTGTGGTCGAGAGGTTACAGCGCCGGTACTTGCCGTCGGGGCGTGAAAGTTTAGGGTTCCAACCGCGCAAAAAACTCTCTTTTTTTTTTCTTTTTGTATTTGCCTGCATTCCCACTAAGAATGTAGACAAGGCCATATGAGCTCTATAAAATCATTGGGCGGGTAGTTCTGACTCATCAGTTCGTTGTTCATGATCCCGGAAGAGCGTATACATGTCTCGAGCTTTCTTTACCAACTTCCGCCGCGCCTCCTGCATCTGCCGTACACTCCCTGGAAAGTTGACAATATCTGCCGATGCTCGTCTCTTCGTTCGCCAGGTAACTGTGCTGCTGACTTTCTCTAGATTTTGTTGTTTTCGGTTTCCAACTGCTCTGACGATTTCCATTTGTTGATCCAAAGTCATTTTAGGTGTTTGCGTTAGAGAGAGGGTTTGCGATGTCGACGATTGATTCATTTTTGCATTCGGTCGTTGTCTTCTGCTATTCTAACTGAAATTCAACAAGTAACGCGTTAATATTACAAAACGATTGCCACAACTAAATGTAAAGGGTAAATATATACCTTTTATCACATTTCATGCAAGTAAAAGTATGATATCTTTTATTTCGGTTTTACTACTCTCTCAGGGACGTTTGACATGCTGCCTTGCATGTAGGATTTCGGTCAATCAATGCATCCACAGCTGGAAGTCTTTTTTCCTTTTTTATTATTTTGTGAAAGCTTTTTTTATTGTCACAACAGCAGTTTTTATTAGTACTAAATAGGCGTCTCCTGTTATTGAAAGGAGTCGTAGCAAGAGCGTTGTACATTTAAAAACACATAAAATTGTAGTTGCTGGGGAAATGATGCTTGTTTCGGCTCCGTTTGTGTGAAAGCCATACCGAGGCTGTTATCTTGGTTTCCTTTTAATTCACATTATGAAATGAATATTTTAGCGCGTTAACGTGCCTTGATATTTTTTCTTCCCGGTGTTTCGCTTGAACAGGTGGGAATAACAGTAAAAAGTTGGGACTAACAGCAAAAGTTTTTACTGTTATTCCCACCTGTTCAATCGGAACACCGGGAAGAAAAAAAAACGGTTTTTACTAAAAACCGCGTAAGGCGCAGTAGTGCAAGTGGATGATTCGTACAAAGGATCACAGTTAAAAAGTAAGACATGCACAAAATACAAAAAAAAGTCCCTAGCGCGATTTGAGCCAGGAACTTTCACGTCGCGACGACGAGTACTGGCGCTTTAACCTCTCGACCACATCAGAAGGTGCGAGTCGGCGACGCTGGCGGAGGTAAA